GAATTTTCACCAGTCTTGAGGTTCTTTTCAGTGGGGCCTTGTTTCCTTTTCTTAGGAGTAGTTGGTGGAAGTTTGCTAGTCTGAAAAGGTTTAAACATAAGTTAGATCTAAATCATAAACTTCAGTTTATTCGAAACAACAGGGTTAGTTGATTACCTTTGGAATTGAAATGTCTGCTGCTGCCGGTGTTGTTGTTGTAGTAGTTGTTGTTGTTGTTGGTATTGTTGGAGTTACATCATCGCTAACTTCAATAGCTTGTTGAGAAGTGTTCCCTTCCTTGAGCTTCGTAGTAACGTTTTTTATCCTAATGGCTGAAAAGTGAAACAATTAAGGTAAAATGTTAAGGATAAGGGAATTAGGATATAATTGGAATTTTCCCAAGCATTCACACCTGTGCCTTGATTAGATGTAATCAAAATGGCAGGAAGGTCATAGCGAAGATGTCCTGGGAAATTATGAATCCAGTAACGAGCCCATGTCACAGTCTCAGATGGCTTTAGTTTCTTTCGAGATTGGTATTTGAACATTTCTTTGCAAGTAAACCACCAAGGGTATGGAGGAAACCAAGCCAGAGCCAGTTCTGAGGTAGGCAACCTAGGAAATTTAGGTGGATGCATTTCGAGTGCCAACCTATACCTATCCTCAGGTGACAACCCTGAAGGAAGTTTGAACTCAAATTTTTTCTTTAAATTTTTCCTTCAAGGTCTCGTCCGCTCGATGTACAGTGGTTCCCAAGTGTGTGGGATCATAAGTGGTTTCGAAATAATTTTGAAAAGCCCTAATTTCTTTGACATGAGTGAACATACCTTTCTTGGAGTGTACCTGCACATTGAACGTGCCAATTAGCTTTTGTTGAATGGTGAGTGTGTCAAACATATATGTCTAGTAGAACTTAGTCCACCATTCAAGAAATCCTTTTGCTGTGAAGTATGTTGGCTCGAAAGGTAAAAGCTCGAACTGAGCAAAATCTTGATATTGCTCCTGTTGTAATTTGGCCTCTCTTGCTTTGAACGTTTTGCCTGAGGTTATGGCACTTTGTGTTTGGAACAAAGGTTCAGGAATTAATTGGCACAGGCCAAATTATCGAGAAACGAAATTGGGTTGATAAGCCAGGAGGAAAATCTGATTCTTTGTTGGAGTAATTCTTGAGGAAATTAGCCTAGGAAGAAGAAACGCTTTCCAAATGTCCTGTATCTCTCTGCTCTTAACAGCTTCTGAGAGAGACGTTGTGAACCATGATGGTCCACAAGTCCTTTGAGAAAAAGGTGCCATGGACTCTTCGAACTTGTGTCTTTTTGAGAAGATCATGATGTATTTAGAAAAATGGACTTTGAAATCATCCTTGTCATCATTTGGAGTAAGCTTTCGAAGCCTTGTGCCTTCGATGATCCTGTCAGCTATTTCTGGATCTTGTTCGATGATAGTATCAGCAGTTGATAAAGAAGATTCGAACATGGCATTAAGCCATAGTTGAAGCAACCAAAAGGGTCCAGCCAGAAGAATGTTCTTTGGAGCATGGGATTTTAAACCAGAAACTGTTGACCTTAAGCTCTCATAAAGATCGACAAGTAGCAGTTCACTCAGGCAGACTTTCCTATTTTCATGGAAATCCCTGGCTAGGGGAATGAACCTACTCGCCACTTGCAAGGATCTGCTGCAGAACACATATCGTGATAGCCACAAGGTAAGGAAAGCGATATGTTCTACGTCTGAGACATCATCCCCTTCAGTATGATAATGGCTGATGAATTTTGAAAAGCTAGCTAGTTTGACATCGAAGTCAATGATGCTAGAATGTTCTTCGTTATCAGGAATATAAGTTTCCCCCACTGGTGAAAGACCAGTGATGGCAGCTATATCAAAGAAGGTGGGTGTTATCATTCCGCCCGGAAGGTGGAAAGTGTTATAAGTGTTGTCCCAGAAGTACAATGAAGTAAATAGCAATGGGTGACTGTAAGTAAAGTCTGGTTTCGACAGTTTGATTAAATTATAAATTCCTAATTCTTCCCATTGCTGGGATTTTTTGGATTCTACTTTAGTGAGCCAGTTTTGATATGCTACATCTGAATTGGGGCAGGATCAAAATGGTTTGAAATTGCTTTTGATGTAATCTAAAATAAAAGGATCTTTTGGAGGTGAGACTGAAGTTTTAGTTGTTTTCGAATCAGATGATTCACTTATGTCTTCAGCTCCTGCCTTAGGGGCATCCATCTTATTGAATAGGGGTTTGAATTTATAGCAAACGGGAAAAATTTCCTAGTATCTTTCAGAATTTCAAAAACGGTTAAAGGACCCATTAGGGCAAACCTTTTTCCAGCAACAATGGTAGGGATTAATACCTGAGAAGCATACAACATTTCTTTCTCTTTGGAGATCGCTTGAGGATTGAGCACATATTGATTCTGATAAGTACCCACCTTGCTTTCCATGACAGTTTCTGTGTTGTTGTTCTTGTTCTTCCTCTTTGATGATTTCTTCAATTGTGATGATGTTGATGAAGACATTGTTAAGATTGCTGGAAGTTTTAGGGTTTAGTGAAAAAAGAGGGGGGTTTCAGAATTTTGGAGAAAAAGAAGAAAAGACTAAACTGATGAGTTTTATAGAGAGTGTGGAAGAGTGAGTGTAAACACCCACTAAATAAGACTAGGGGTACGTGGAAGTCGTTGGTTGGATTCAGAGAGAGGTGGCGTAAGATCTAGTGTTGGTAATGAGTGTGATTAATAGTAATCATTATTTTTAAAATTGCACCATGCTGTGGTAACTGGTCTAAGACGGTTAGGTACTCAAAGAGGCGTCTTGATTGACGTGGGTAAAGTCATGCACAGTAAATGTCATGATTCTTCAAAAGACCTATCAAAATCTTGTGAATCTATTTAAAATAAGTATTTCTCAAAGGGTTCGAAATACATATTTTAAAGGGGCATTTTGTTGGCTGAAGATTTTGATATTGTGATTCGAAATGAAATGATTGGGCTTTGTTTGAATAAAGCAAGTTTTATGGTTTGGAATGGAAGAGATTTTTTTTCCGAATGGAAATATTAAAGTTCAAGGTTTCGAATGATAGTTGTGGAGTGTAAGTCTAAAGAATTTTCGAAATAATGATGAGATTATATTTGTGAAGGTTGTTTTCGAAAATAACCTTTGAAACGAATTCGAAACGAAGGTTCCAAGGCGTTTGAAATTCAAACGTGAGCGGGATATTGGAAATTCAAATACATAAGCGTTGGAGCATTCGAGGACGCGTGGAGGCTAGAGGGAAGTAATGCTCTGCATGCTTCGAACGTGGCAGATTCTGATAGCAAGACCGTTATGATCGAAATAGTATAAATAGAGGTCTTAGTGTTAGGATTTCGGTGTGTCATATCTGTTGTACAAATTCAGTAAACATTCAAAATACCGCATGGATAGGGAAACGAATGCTCGAAAGATGTACCCATGATAACACCAACATTTACAATTCAATGAAAACTCTTTATATTTTCCAGTTTTGTCTTTCATTTCCATTTCATTTGTGCTTCAAACATTTTTACGTTCATGCCTTTACATTAAAGCTTTTACATTCAGAGTCATTTATTTCTTTCTGCATTTAAACGCTTTTCTTATGTTCGAATCCTTTAAACATTCAGCAACTTTTACATTCACTCACTTAATCCTGCCATTTACCCAATCTTAAGTCTTTTTACTTTTCTAATGAACATTCCTTATATCATATAGAAATTATCCTTCGAATCATTTAGTGTAGTAATCGAAGTGGATTGGATGTCTTTGAAACACTTTAATTAGAAGTCCTAAATATGAATACCAGTTTTACAATTAGATTTAGCCAAACAACTATGTCCCATATGATCAATCTAGTCGATCCTGCAAGTTACCAGAGAAATTGAATAACAGTAATTAAGTTTATTCGATAGTTTGGAAGACTAGCGATTGTTTATCAGAAATCACTGTGAACACAATCATTGTATGATAACATTAGGTTAGAGATAGGTTAGTCTCCCATAGATGTTTTCTTCCTATTTTTATATAATTGCATTTAAAACTAAAACTTCTTTTTCTTGGCAAATGTATAAAAAATGCTAAGCATACAAAAATTCTTTTCATGGTAAAAAATACCAATCAATCCATTTCTTTTCGCCATTCGACTTTTCTCTTCTAAGAGCATATTAGTTCCTTTCCACTACAGGTCGTAAGTCTTCAAAGGTCGAGTAGCGGTGGAATGATCGAATTCAACATTGTTCATTTAAAAAATACAAACAAAAAAAAATATGTGAGTCGAACTATGTCGCTCTGATTCCTTAAAAAAAGATACGTAAGCATCTGGTCATGGGGCTCAGCCGAGCGAAAATTTGTAAATATTTCCTTCTTTTCCCCGTGTTTTCTTTACATACATTCCCTCTTAGTTTATAACTCTTAAGCATTAGATTGAACACACCCTTTGATTAGAACAACAAGAGTGGATCCCGTAGAGTACTACGGACGTGTGGGGTGCTAATACCTTCCCCTCACGTAATCGACTCTCTTACCCAATCTCTCGGTCGCGAGACCTTGATTTCCCCCTTTAGATTTTTCTTCAATGATTTTCCTTTCCCTTTTGTGGGATAAATAAGTACTCGGTGGCGACTTCATTGATTTTACCGCTACAGTTATAATAAATTAAATCTTTCCAAAAGAAATATTTTCAAAATAAATCATGCAAATTCTAAACAAAATTAATATTTCTAACATTAATAACACAGTAATTGGAACACAGAATTCGGAATCAAACAAAATCTTTTAAAAAATATTGCACTAGTGGATAACAATGCCTGTAAAAAAAATTTAAAAACTAAAATTTATTTGAAAATAATTTTAAAAAATAAGTTACAAACTACTCATGAGTCATGACAACTAGCGAGTACCAAAAAATTTAATGCAATTACAATAAGTGAGTATTAAGCATCATAGCATATTTCTTTGCATTATTTAGTATATCCTAGAATGAACCAAGAACAACAAAATAGCTAGGAGTTGCTATTATCATCAAATCTTTCTAGTACAAAGATATTGCCTTTGTCGTCCCTTCCTATTCTCATGTTTTCATCAACATATCTATAACATAATGGAGTTAAGAAACAACAACAATTATCATCAACGTTAGTAGCATAAAATAATAGAAAGACAATCTATGTAACAATCAATAAAAATTAGGATACGTGATTTCTAGCCACCCCTCTGGATTGAAGATGCCCAACAAAATATCATAGTTTTTCCGAAACACATTCATCAACTGATCAGGAGTGATTGTGGATTTTTCAAAAGTAATGTCAACCCTCTGTGGATTTCAAGTAGTAGCTAAGTAAGTAGTTATTTGGTAGCAATTTCATTAAATAAAAGTGACCAAACAAGAAGTGGAGCATTAACTGTTTTGGAAGCAATCTTGAATGAGGCCTCAATAGTTAGCTCTCCAGACAACATTGTCAGCCCTTTTGCATTGAACTTCACCACATTGACTGCTTTGTTCTCCATTTTCAAATCACATCACCAGTGTTTAATCTTAGTAACAAATCAAAATATAGACGGTTTGAAATATAGATTGGTCCGATTAAGATTAGACTGACTGAAATATAGACGGTCTAATCTTGATTGGACTGTCTTGGTATAGATGACTGTGCACAATCACACTAAACACAATTCAAATCCTCTAATTTGTGACACAATTTATGCAACAGATTGAGAAATGCATTGTATTTGTACCTTGGCTTTATCAATAGTCTGAAAGAAATCACCTAATGAGATAAACTCTCTTAGGCCTAACTTTGTCCTTCTTGATCCCAAAATTGAGATAGTGCTGTAAACAAGCCTCCAGCATCCATCCACCTTTCAACAAAAGAAACATAACATCAAAGTTCCTATATGTTTTTGAGAAAATATATACAACCGTGATTTTGGTCACAACATCAATGTTTTTTCACGTCTCTGTGGCCACTTACGACGCTGCACCAATAACAATTGACTACATTTTAAGACGCGGTTGCAACTGTGCCCTCGATTTAAAATGTTAACAATGACCAATTACCATAGTGAATTGGTATTACCTTATCCAGTTCAAGAGTTGGTTCTGGAGTTGGATTTTTAGATTCTAGCTGCTTCACCAAACTTTCAATTTCTAACTTCTTTCCAGATGGGATTCCAAATATCCCTCTGTTGATTTCTTCAAGCATATTTGTTCCAATCAAACAATGCTAAGTCACAACAACAAAGAATAACAAGAATAGTTGAAGAGGGTTGGTACCTTCCAAAGCCTGGTAAAGTTCTATTTTCTTCTGAGCAAGTGTTTCATCTTCAACTAAGCCATAACCAGAGGGTTTTTCTGCAACTTTAATAACAGTAAAAGGTCTAAACCATAATGGTTTGTCACCAAATCCTGAAGTATTTATCCTTGAACGATTAATAACCGGTTCAAATCTTTGAAGTTTCCCGATATTCATAGTTCTACAAACCAGAGGACTCAGATGAAAATCAGACACTAGCTTAGTTATCATAATAGCCTTCAAGATTACATACAGAAGTATGAAACAGGGTAGAGGGGGATGGTAACACCTTCACAGGTTGTTCTTTCAAGTTTGATGATAAAACATAAAGGGGTGTCTCAGAATTTTGGAGACAGTGGAACTGTGTACACATGTTTGTTGTCTTATCTGATTGTTTTAGTCAAGGTTTTGGATAGGTTTATTGAGACATGTGGTTAAAATTCCAAGTGTATATAAGGTCCATGAGATAGATACTGTATGTATTGAAATCTTACTTACTGGCCTCAAAAGCCACATGCTTCAATAGTGTCCCTAAATTGTGTACAAAAACATAACAATAAAAATTGTGTTGACTACACTTAAAGTGGTTTTCAACCATCCATTCATTGATGTACAGTTCCAATACGGAGTTAACCCTTTATTCAGCATACAATATTAATGACATGTTCAGCAGATTGTGATCATAAGTAACAAAGATTATCAAGCTTCCTTGTTCAATTGTAGAGGAAATTGTAGATTGTCAAGGTACCTTTGAATCTTTTGTATAAGATAAGAATTCACAACGCAATAGGCATTGACACACTCAGACAGTTAATTTGGCTAAATCATACTGGCACTGTAAATTTGTGTAAGTTCAAGAATTATAGCTTTAGCAAAAAAATCATCACTACACACCATGATTTTGTCAAACTCATAAATAGTACATTATGTTAATGATTTTGTCAAACATAGAAGACGGCAATTATCACAAAATCACCCTGCTGTTTTTTTAACTAAAATTTAGAAGTACAATATAAAAAATTTGTTGCAACAAAGATACATAGAACTCTATGATCCAGAATATTGGCAGCAGCATAGTGTAAGGATTTTTTATTCATATGATAAACATTATTATATGATCTAGGCAGCAGGGTTTGATTGGTTGGATTCTTGTTGTTTTTTCCACTGCTCTGGAGTTACAGCTTTCTTTACAGAGAGTGCATGAATCTCTTTCATTTCCTCTTCTAATGCAGCATTCACCATTCTATGCCTTTCCAGTAACCTTTTGCCTTCAAATTGTTCTGACACAATCTCAACAGAAAAACTTGCACCACACCTAATAATACCAACTTGGAGTTATATGATTGTAAGATATAAAACAGACAGTATAACAGTGCTAAAAAGAAGCTAATGCAAAATGTGTTAGACGAGGAAAAAAAAACTTACCCTCCAGATATATCGATTACTTCCTGAAACACAAATAAACAAACATCAGAACATAAGCAATTCAAAAGAAAAAAACATAAGGGTTAAATACAAATGGAAGGTTTCCATGTTTGTGTGGTAGTATTTGTAATATGATAAGCTTAAGAAGGGATAAATGGTTACTTTCGAGTAGTAACTAACTAACTCCAGCAAAGAGAAAGAAGGAAACTTTGTATTAATTCTTTCATTACAAAGGTAAATGGCTATATAGAGCCTTGTAACTTCCTAGCCTATCTGATCATGACGCGTGTCCACTGATCCATATATCTAGGTAACAACTTTAGCACAGAATTGCTATAATGCTAGGGAATATAACTGACTCAAACTACTCAGCCCCTGTGATCTTTTTTTTCTTTGTCGCTTTCTTCAAGCCATGCACATGGTAATCCTGCATCCTGATTGATGCATACTTCTCCCTATGGGGCCTTGGGTTTTTCTCAATTTTTGGCCCAAATGTATCTTCTGTGTTTGCTATTGGCACGTCTATATCATAATAATACACATGATTCCGAGGAACTTTTGTATTCTACGAAACTACTAAATGGAAGGTTAGGTTTTGAAGCACATACAGAAAACCAAAAACCCTTATAAAAATTCCCCAAGAAGTTAGATCATTTTCCTATTAATTGCATAAAGTTCCATTTTAAATACATTTCAGTTAGGATGCTCTACAATATAAGCATTATATTAGTTACAAAATTCCACAGTTGTATGCTTGAATTCAAAAGGTGTGTGTGTCCTAAGTAGGTAGTTCGGTTATTGAGCTAAAGAATCCCGAGATTGTTTGAAGAAGCGGATTCGAGACAAGCTTTTAACCTTGAAAATCTAAGTGTATGTTTGGTTCCACTTTTGGAAGACCCGGAATCAATTCTAGAGATATAGAATTGATTCCGAGTGATTTTGAAGGGTTTGGTTTTTCAAAAGTAGAATTGATTCTGCCTAGCTAGAATTTGTAGCTTCGGCCTTCAGAATTGATTTTGAGTGATTTTTACACTGAAATTTATCAATTCTGCTAAACTCAATTTTGATTTGTGTACGCCCTAAAAATATAACTAATTAACTAGCATTTGTATACAAAAAAAAAAAAAGTACCCTGCAAGAAATGTAAAAATAGGGCAAACATAATGGCTTTTTAATGTGTTTGAAGTTTATGAGTTTGGTCCATGATATTTGTGTATAACAATAGTATCATAAAGCACATGAGATATTTGGATCATAAAACATGTATTATCTATGAGAGAAACAGAGAAATTGTAAACTCCAATGAAAGGAAGATAGAGAAGGAAATTGGGGGAAGAAAAGCTTACAAGATGAGAAGGGTTGAGTTTTGAGTTCAAAGATGACTCGACTTGTTCCTTTGACACACCCATCTCTATCTTTTGAGGTCTTGCACTCTGATTACGCGGTCTTCTTTTTTTAGGGTATTCTTCTTCTTCAATTTGCGGAAGAATATATTTATTTGCCTTTTAAATTGCCTTTCTTCCCACTCCGATAAATATACGAATATAATCAATGGGGTTGAATTTAGTATGGAAGACTATAGTTTGATTCTCCACAATTATAATTGAAAGGAGATTAAAATTATTTAATATCAGAATTGACTCTAAACTAAACTATATCTAATGATAAAAAATAAAAATAAAAACGAATATAAGACTCCCTCGGTCCAAGTTCACTGACATGTAAATTATTATTATTTTTTAAATTAGTACCAAGTTAATTATTTTTAAAATTTTATTTTTAATTAATATTATTTACATTATTCTAAAATAAAATATCTCATATTTTGTATTTACGATAACAGTATATACATCAATATATAATAATAATAATAATAATATTGGAAAAATAATAATAATAATAATATTTCATTGCAGAATAAAAAATGAATGTGATTGTAAAATAATAATAATAATAATAATAATAATAATAATAATAATAATAATAATAATAATAATAATAATGATGTTCCGTTGCAGAATAAAAAATGAATGAATGAGATTGTGGAAACTACGGCGGGGCGAAATTTCGCGAGTGATTTTGTGATATAATATTGTGGATTGAAAGTTGCGATCACGGTGTTTCTTGAACCAGAGAAGTTGATCTTGAAACAATGTCGTTAGTCAGTGTCAATCTTGGATCGGCGTTTTCTATCTCTGATGTGGTGGACCTTGGGTATCTACATAGTTATCACTACAACATCCAAGTCAGTTAGTGTTCAAGATAATTGTGTGAAAGTGGAGATTAGAGAGTGTGCACTTGTTAGCTTGTGATTTTTGACTCAAGCATATCCGATAAGAACAGGGGTATTAGATAAATACACGAGTTAAAATAAGGTAGCTAAATCATGTTTTCGACGCCAAAATCTCAAATAGTCGACAAGAAACAAATTGATTCTCGATAGTGACAGTTGGAAGACTTGAAGGTGATTTTTGATAAAAGTAATGGTTTTGCAGCAGTTCAAGAACTAAAGACACGTGAAAGCAAAGCAGAAGACAAAATGTCGCGTATTAGTGTATGTGTCGAATGTTGGAGGGTTAACTATTGTTGACGGCTATCGATGTACATAGTCTATAAGCAATTTTCGTTATCTGATGAAGATTTGCATTTTAGTGTAGATGGATTCAGAAAGAATGTCAAAGTAACCATTCAAGTTTTGTTTGGATATACTTTTATTTAGATTAAAACTTTTGGCTTTTAAATCATCGAAATCAATAAACTTTTCATGGATAACGAACAAAAGATTTTAATCTAAGGTTTCTGAAGACATTTTTGAAGAAAAGGAAAGACTTTGAAATAAGGTTTGAAGACACAAACAGTTGGAAATAGGACGTTGAAACTAGGAATATTGTTTAAATAAAATGGAGAATATGAAGTGAACCAATGAGAGAAGCTCAAACACCTCCTTGAAAATCCAAAAGATACATTACATTTTGAATATGGATTATCATTGCTATTCTAGTGCCACGTTTTAAATCCACTTATTACCTCGAATTTTCTTATAACTGAGGGGAAAAATATTTCAGGAACTTTTCTTTTTAGTATATTTTTTAATTGTATACCAAATGATTTATACTTTTCAAAAGTCGAAGATTAAGCATCAAAAGCCTTTGGGTCTTATGCAACCTTTGAGTATTTCAGAGTGGAAATGGGACAGTGTCTATATGGATTTTGTGTCGGGTTTGTCGAAGACTGCTAAGGACAATGATTCGATTTGGGTGATAGTGGATAGGTTGACTAAGTCGGCTTATTTCTTACCGATGAAGATCAATCATCCTATGGAGAAGCTAGTTGAGATGTATATTGATGAGATTGTGAAATTGCATGGGATACCTTCGAGTATCGTATCAGATAGAGATCAAAGGATTACATCAAAATTATGGGAAGGTTTACAGAATGCTTTTGGTACAAAGTTGAGATTGAGTTCTGCATATCATCTGCAGACGGACGGTCAGACAGAGAGGACTATTCAGTCTTTGAAGGATTTATTGAGGGCTTGTGCTCTAGAACAAGGAGGAGCTTGGGATAGTAATTTGTTGTTGATTGAATTTACTTACAATAACATTTTTCATTCTAGTATTGGAATGACACCATATGAAACATTGTATGGTAGGAGGTGTAGAACTTCATTGTGTTGGTATGAGGCAGACGAGGGTGTTGTACTCGGATCTGAGATTGTGCAGGAAACAAATGAGAAGATTAAGATGATCCAAGAGAGAATGAAAGCTTCTTAGAGTTGTCAGAAGAGTTATCACGATAAGAGGAGAAAGGCGCTTGAGTTCCAAAAGGATGATCATGTGTTTTTAAGAGTTACTCCGATAACTGGTGTAGATAGAGCTTTGAAGTTGAGAAAGCTTATGTCGCATTTTGTTGGTCCATATCAGATATTAGAGAAGATATGTGAGATGCCTTATCGAGTTACTTTACCGCTGTCTCTTTCGAATCTTCATGATGTGTTTCATGTGTCTTAGTTGAGGAGATACATTATGAATCCTTCACATCTAATTCAAATGGATAATGTACAGGTGAGAGATAACCTGATTATTGAAGCATCGTCCGTGCTGATAGAAGGATGGGAAGTGAAGCAATTGCGGGATAAAGACATCGCCTTAGTGAAGGTATTGTGGGGTGGAACAATTGGTGAAACTTGGACTTGGGAATGCGAGGATCAGATGAGATGGTCTTATCCGATTTTGTTTCCGCTAGGTAATTTTTTAGGACGAAAATTATTTTAAGTGGGGGACAGTTGTAACACCCCAAAATAATTATATTATTTATTTAATTATTTAATTGTGAATATTATGATTATTTATTATGTATCTATGAGTATATGTGATGTTTTGATGTATGTGATGTGATGTTGTGTGTAGTATAGTGGGAATTGAGTGATATTGGGTATTTTAGTAATTTTAGATAATTAGTTTTGATTATTTAAAACTATTATTAATTAAATAAATAAAATAATAAGAGGTAGAGACTACGAGGACAAGGTAGTAATATTGTGAAGTAAGCGAGGATAAGATGGGAAGACCATAGAAAGGATCCAAGGGTTAAACAAGGAAAAGTGAGTGTCAATGTTCATTCTAATCGTGAAAGTGAGAAGAACGCTGTGAAGCAAGCTAGGGCACTGAGAAACTCAGAAGGTTCTATAGAATGCGAAGAGGAATAGATTGTTGCTAGGAATCTATGATAAAGGGAGTTTATCATTGTTATTATGATTGATATAGGGCTTAGATAATTGTAGGTTTGTGTTGAGATTTTGGTTGATGATGTTAACATGATGATTTGATGAGTATTGGTGAAATTGTGATATTACAATGAATTGATGTGTATGATGTATAATATGATGTGTTGGTATTGTATAATGAAAACATGAGTGTTTGTGATGAATTGAAACCTGTTCTATTTTGAAATCGCAAGAAAATTGGGATTGGTACATTGCAGAAAACGCACAGGGAATTGCCTGTTCGCGCTGCATCGTCAAGCGGGTCATATGCTTTGTCGGACGAGTGAGCTTCTCCCAAGCAGTGCCAGGCGAGCAAAAGCCGAAGGGAAGGGGTGAAAAACATAGCCCTGGATTTTTGTATGGAGAGGGTGACTCGCCCCAGCTTCGTCGGGCGAAGTGGAAACGAGAAAAGCTCGTCAGGAAAGTGAATAGTTTCATTGGGCGAAGGTGACTGAAGAAAAATAATGCTCTTGGGTTTTTGTATGGGGGGGGGGGGGGATTTTCGCCCCAGCCTCGCTGGGAAAGCCTTGGGCGAGGGGTGTCTGACAGAAACTTCAACAGACTGTAACTTGTAATATTGTGTTTTAATATTCTGTGTGAACAATGTAATGTATAAAAAAAGAAGATTTTCACCTTGTTTTTTTTATTAAAATCGAGGATATAATTTAGCATGATAATTGATTATATTGATTACCGTCCTTAAACAAATATGTGTCTTCCATTTCGTGAGTAACAACGCTCAAGACACTACCATTAGTGATTCGCGTGAAACCTAAAAAAATTTCATTATAAAAATATTATGATATCTAAAATTGATAAGAAAGCATCATGAAGTTCTTGAAACTATATATTTCATCCACTTTAAGGTTTGCAAGAGTATTTACCATGAAGAGTTATTTATGATGGATTGCAAGAGTAGAAAACTATTTGAGTTTAAGGTTTGTGTTCTTAAATATTTATTTGAGTAAAAAATCATTTATTTATCTAACCCTTTTTTGTCTAACTATTTTTTATTTATATCATTAACAAATGCAAGGAAAATCATTTGAAAATATAGTGGCACCCAACATTTGATCTTTCCCAAAATATTAAGAATTTGAAGTTCCAACATATGATCTTCATGGACAAATTAATTTTTATTTTAATATTATGTATAAACAATGTAATATTTTAGATAAACATTGTAGTTTGTAAACAAAATTTTTAATTAATTTTCCGTGTAAACAATGTAATGAGTTTTAATTAAAAAAAAACAATTTATCTTACCCCTCAGTTTTATTGATAAATCAAGATATATGAGACGTTAGTTTTATAAATAATAAAAGTGCAGATGATGAGGTTTGAACCCATGCGCAAATAAATTTACCCATCGGTGTTTTAAAAACAGAGGTGTTAAGTCATTACTTTTCATGATGCCTTTCGTTACCTCGCTTCTATAGCCGAAGTAAAATGCATTTCGCGTCCGAGGTTAAAAGCACTTTTTGTAGTAGTGAAACTTGTTGGTTAGCATCTAATTGTAAAATCCTTAGTTTTTTAGTTCTCTTATAAGATGATTTGGTTATCATTAGTGTTGTAGACTATTGCCATACATTTTCGTCATCAAAATTTTAGATGTTGATCTTTAATATCTGCAAGCACATAAAT